GCAGATATCCATACCTGCATGATCTGCTGCAGCCTAAAGGCCCGTTTGTAAATGCTTGAGTTAGGCATGTTGTAGCGCTTTGCATTCTCAAACATCAGAGTGAGGTCAGCGTCCATCTGTTCCACACTTTCATACTCGCCGTTCTTCATCTTTGCCCTTAAAAAAAATAAACAAACCGTTATCAAAAGTGTTCATAAGTGTATCACTAATGTTTTAACATTCTGCCTCTCAACATATCATCGCGTGAATTTACTGATTGGCCATTCCTTACCTGATCTGCTGCAGAGCGATGGGTTGTTTGATCTGCTGATAATAGTCGGGATATTCCCTGCGAGAGGGTAGTTGCTGGAAAGGCTCAGAGAAGACCTGGCCCTGACTGTTCCTGGCACCCCTCACAGCTTCATACAGTTGGAAGATTGGGTTGCTCATTTCCATACTAGAACTCTGACTCTCAGCCTCTGACTCTCCCTCGTCATAGCACACAGATCCTGCAAACATTTAAGTGGGACAACTGTTATTCTTTCAACACAAACTCCAAGGTAAATCTCTCTACAGCCTAGGGTGCTCATACTTGCCTGAGAGCACAGGGTCGTCCTCGCTCTCTGAGCCATAGTGAAGAGCTACGCTGACGCCAGAGAGTCGCTCCCCCTGGCCAGACCTGCGATTTCTGAATAGCAACAGCAAAGACACAAGACATACACCATGTATATCTTGAAACAATTGGTTTCCTGTAAGGGAATAATTTGCATTTGGGAAAGAAAAAAAAAATTTACACTGAAAACGCAATTGCAACTGTTGTTTAATACCTGATGCGAAGACTAGATTTAGTGGGTTCAGCGTGCTCAAGTTCAGTCTTCCGCTGGATGAAGACTTTCTTTATGGTGTTCGCATCCTATACAATAAGAGAACAATTGTTCATATTTAGGATGTTGTATCCCTGTGGCTGCATCTTCTAAAACAAGAAAATCAAGAAAAAGTGTTTACCTTAAAAACCTGAGATCCTGGTTCATTGTAAGTTTTGGCATTTTTGGCCATCAGATCAATGTCCTTGGCCATAGCATTGACACTTTTATAGTATCCAATCTATGCAAATAAAATAAATTAGTGCTGGTTATAATAAAACATCACGAAGTTCTGACAAGAATGATGCACAACAAAGCAATTGGTCAGCAAGTGAATTGACTACCTGTATTCTCTGAGCAATCATTCTCAGATCTATTGGCTCCTTTATGATGGCATAATAGTCAGGATAATGCTAGGAAAGACAGATAGGCATGGTAATGTCAAGAATGTGAAACCATTTCAGGTTACACCATTTGAAGTCCACAGAGTCTTCAAGGACCTACCATTTTAGAAGGCATTTTCTGGAACAGTTCACTAACCAGACGCCCTGAGGGATCAGTGTGTGACACCACAGCCTCCAAGAGTTGCTCCAACACTTCCTTCAAACTTCCAGTTGGGGTCTAAAAAGTTAATATGCGTAATTTACTTCTCCTCTAGCATGATGGTCCATGTTCTTTACTACAATACACACAAATGTCCATGAAAAGCATATAAATCTACTAGTGGTCAACTGATATGGGTTTTTTAAATGGCCAATGTCGATATTTAGAGAGCAGGGCGGCTGATTCTCGATATATAATGCGGATATCAGAACAAAGACAAGCCTTTACACCAGATTTAGGCCTATCACTAAAATCTACTTAAAAAAGCGAGAGAAAAAATTCACCTCCAACATTTAAAAACATTGAAAATACATGTTATATTCAGTAAAAAAGGTTAAGGTTGAGTTCATAAGTGACAGTCATACCAGCAGGCAAGGCACCTCATCAATACATCTAATGAGAAAAGGAAATTACCTCATCTTCAGTTGACATTCCTGGATTATCTATCATATCATCACCATCTTCATCATCCTCATCTCCGTCCCCGGGCTGCACAAACTCGGCCCTTGTTTGCAAATACACCTCCCACAGCTTGCACGCGGCATGATACTCCTCACTGTCACGCTGAATTGTTTAATGAGACAAAGGAATATAGAATTGACACAGGAATATGGAGACCACACTTATAACTAATGAATTTTGAAAAATATGGCATAACAAAAACTTGTCAAATTACAATAAAATACAGGGACAGAAATACTGTACTGATACTTTCTCCCTACCTTGTAGAATGATTTGGCATTGTTGAACATGAGCTGGAAATCTGCAGTAAGCTGCTCCACATCAGTATAATCTTCTGACTTCAGTTTATACTGAATTTTTGTCATATCAATTGGCTGTGACACCACTTCATAATAATCAGGCTGATTCCTGAAAAGAACAAGACAGATCAGACATCACTGTGATCTCCTTATGCCTGCATGAGCTGCCCTGCCAGACCCACCCACCAGTCCGACTGTCACTTGGACTGGTCTACCCACAAAGTTTCCAGTAATGTAAGCTTTGCCCAGGCCTTTATGTCACAATACCTTCTCTTTGGTACCCTTAGGAAAACTTCACAAAGTTGCCTCCCTTGTTCATCCTTGTAGTCCCTGACAGCGTTGAAAAGCTCATGGCATACAGCAATCTGGAGGGAACAAGTATTCAGAAACCTTAATACGTGTTAAAGCGTTTACTAATGCACACATATTAAGTAGTTAAGAAACGGAATCGCGTTATTTTAAGAAAACGTGCAAATCCTGATGCAACTACACGACACAATAAAGCATGTGCATTTACCGTATCTACAGGAGCAACATTGGATATTCTTCTTCTTTTTCTGCCACTTCCAGGAGTAGAAGAGCAGGTATCATCGAGGTCTCCCCCTCCACTGACACTGCTGGAGGGTGAAGTGGCTCTTCTCCTCTTGGAGCTGGCTGACATCGTTGGCTAGTTTAACAACAGGCTAGCCCGCTAGCTACAAAAACAAAAAAGGTTAACGTCAAACTTACTGTGGATTTTGGCCCGATTAATACGCCATTAACTTATGTTAAAATGAAAATTTGTCGTCCATCGAGCCATTCGCAGCAAAGTTTAGGCTAAAAAGGAACAAGAGCAAACTCAACTGGTTAGCGTTAGCACCGTTTGGATGTATGAAACAAAGCCAACAGTGGAGCGGCTGTTAGCATCTCATCCTGGCTGGCTTTTCGCTTTCCTATCAACTGAGCAAAACAAATATATTCTAAAGTTGCCAGGAACGACATGCAAGCTGGGATAAATAAACAAAAAACACTTTCGAAAACTTATCTTACCCAAAACTCAGCAAAGGTTGCTGTAATGGTAGTTCCCTGAGCAAAATGTGTATCGGCTAGCTACTTAGCTAGTGTTGTTTGAAAATTCCTACCCGGAAGTTGAGGTTGTAACGTTATTGTGTTTGTGTGTAGAGAAGGATAGCACCACTCGAGGCAATGCTGCACCCTTCAGTGCAGGAGGAGTAATGCACCTAATATGTGTGCCATATTGGAATATTAATTATATAATAGGTCTACAAGAGTGCACCAATTTTTCTTTTTTTTTTTAACGTCAGAATAAGTTTATTAAGGCAGAATTTATAAGTGGTCTATTAAACCGAATACCACTATGTAACAACAATGATAACATTTACCAAACACAGGTTTAAAAAGTGTTAAGAGAAAACTTTGTCCACAGCCTATACTATGGAGTTAGAGGTGCTGTAAGATGAACATGTAATAAAAAAAAAAATAGTGTTTGTGATTCATGATGAACCTGATGAAGCACAGAGCAAACATGTTGTACCTACCAGTGTAAAGATGAGCACAATCAGAGTCAAAATCAGAGTATTCTCTGCCTTTGGTTGTCTTCTTGAAACAGGTAAACAAGTCTTCAGCAACAGGCCTGAACAGATACTTCCAAAATGTCAAAGACACAAAAAGCTACATAAGTTCATGTGACTTAGTTTGTAATTTGCACAGGTACAGAGTACAAGTTAGTAGGCCTATTAAACGTTATCTCATTTAAAAGACAAAAAGGGAGACATTGTATTAAAGAAGACTCTTCAAAGCAGGCATTTACTGTAAATGCATGTACATGCATTTGGCTGTATTGGTGCATGCGCATGTTGGTAAGTGTAAGGGTTTTGGAGAGTGGGGTGAGGGGTTGGATAGTTAAGGGATGGGAAATGATCTGCTGTTCTGCAGTCCTTCAACATGTGGTAGGCCCCATTCAAGTTCACTTTACCTGAGAATACTCTTGCAAAAACCTAAAAAAAAGTAAAGGAGGAACACAAAGAACAATACATTAAAATATGGTTCACCATCGATGTCCTCACCTTGTTATGTATGATATGTGGACAATGACATGGACCCTCATAGAAAGGGATGGCAAAATAACATGAACACATCACAATATATTGCAACACAAATAGCCCAGCAATAAAACTTTGGGGTATTTTTATCCCTATGGTGTTGTTGTGTTTTGTTACCCTGTAACTTACAATAGATGTCATCATTAGGCAGTCCGGGCCCCACCCCTCTACACCTCTGATGGGCCAGTACCCGTGACAGCCAGTGTCCAGGTGGACTTTGGGAAGGGCCCCATGAGTGTTGATGCTGTGAGAGAGAGTGAAGCAGGGCGTTTCCCCAAGATTAGTGGAAAATCAGAACATTATATTTTCCTGCAAGTGTATTTTAGGCCTACTGACTTAATATACACTCTTTCTTACATTCTGCCGCACATTTTCAGCATGAACCTTGAAGGCTTTCATTTTATGGCTACACACCGCTTGCGTGTGCCGTTTCAGTGCTTTTATGATCAATTATTCACAGTGACACGTTATGCCAGTTTTGAAAAGCCTCTCAAATTGTCTGCATAGGCTACCCCGCGTACTCTCATCTGTACCAGCAAAAGCGTAATCAACTGTGCCGCAGAAAGCTTTCAGAAAAAAACAAGCAGATGTAGGCTACAAAAAAGCTGCTCACATTTAACACACGGTGACTCGACTATCATAAGGTGAATCGCAGATCACGTTGTTAAGAGAACAGTGAGTGATTTTGTGCTGCACTACGTCCACAGACGTCTGGTTTTCTTGACGTCAGGAGGAGAAGTCTGAGCGCACCCAGCGCTGCGCACAAGCACAGCAACCACATCGCTCCCAGAGGGAAGAAGAACACATCACAGCTACAGATCGCCATTTAGGTATGTTTTCCCCCCAGTTATATATTCACCGAAATGCATCATCAATCGTGCAGTTTTTTTCTGTCGGCGTACAACTTGTAAAGCTTTTAGTGCGCTTCCACGTCTGCAGCCCCCTGATTTAACCCAAAGATGCGGGCTTCCTTTGAATGCCATACCCTTGAGCGCTGCAGTACCTACGGTTCGCACACCCACACCGCCTTTTCTTACTTGCATGATCACCAACATGAAAATCGAACTCATTTCAGTATTGCAGACATCTTGCACCGGCAAAACGTTTTAATTTCCATTCAACCTCCAGTGTGTCATTCACGCCCTGCAGCCTTAATGCAGAACATGTTTCTCAGCGGAATACAGTTTCATTTGACCATCTTGTAGCCTATTTGTAGTTTTTTTCTATTCTTCAGATCAACCTAATTGCGCAAAGCTTCAGATTTTAAATATAGCACAGGTCCCCCAGCTGGTAATTGCCTCTACTGACCATGCGTTTGTTTTTGAGACACTATCTGTTTTTTGCGAGTCTCTGCTGCACCGTTTGCCCTACTTTCAAGCTGTTTGTTGCTATTTATTGTTGCTTGGCCGCTTGTCAGCAAAGAAGTCTGTAATTGTTGTGGGGGGTTTTTTGTTTGTTTTTTTTGTTGGGGATGGGGGGTAGTCATTCCCTCTGTCAGCCTGCAAGTTAATATTTAATATTTTTGTTCTTATATATTTGTTAGTAGCCTAACATTCATGCCATTTTGCATGAGTTGCTCTCTAATCTATTATGTCTTATAAAATAAAGAATAGCACAAGTAAATAGGGCCTACAGCTTCAGTGTATTCTCTACTTTGATTGGACTTTTTCAGCATCATGCATACAAGAAGAAACATGTCCTACTACTATCTTTTCTTCTTGTCATCCAGTCGAATCAAACTTAGTGGTGGGCAAGCAAGAGCTGCAACAACCAAAACACATAATCAGGGAAATCAATGCTTTATTTAATGGCTGAAGGTTTTATGCAACAATCGCATCAGTCAGCCAAACTGTAATGGACATTTTAAACTAATACAGAGGCAGACTATCTCTGCAGTCATAATTAACTACATTAAATAGTGCAAGAGTACCCATTTATTGCTGTGTAATATTTATCTAGATTTGAGTACACATGTGGTGGGTCAAAACATCATTGTGCATACTGTTTTTTTATTCTGCTCTTTCTTCCGCAGCTGTAGTGTGGCGAATCATATCAGCATTGTACAATGCCTCTTGGAGAGGATGGAAATGGATGGAAAAAGAAGACAACAGACATCAAAGAACATTATGACTTCAAAGAAGTGCTGGGAACGTAAGTTGCACTGAGAGTTTACTGCTATTGTGGATTACCAGTGGGGCAAAGTTGGCAACTGTACCAGTGGTCTCTGACCCTCAAGGGACCTAAACACCTCAGCTTGTGTCAGTTTTTCATATATAATTTTAGCTCCATTTGCATTGGTTCCATTTTCCTCCAGTGTGTTGGTTTGGCTGCAGAGTCTCAGCAGTGAGTGCCTCCAGGCTTTTGAAATGAATCTAAAACTATCAGTATTACTAAATACCAAAATGTTTTGTGTGAATTGGATGAAGTGACCCTTAAAAGTGGGTTAGTATAGAGGCCTTGTCTTAGAAGGTGCCCCTTGTCAAATCTATTCTTCGTTATCAGAAATTGTGTTGTTCTTACAAGAATTACATTGTGTTTAAATCAAATTACCTAAAAAACAAACAGCAAGCACGGGGCCAGGGTGAGTTCCAGCACTGGTTGATTTCCCGAGTTTGATGCAAAATAAAATGAAGCTGCCATGTGCAGTCTGCAGTGTGCACTGTAACTGATGGGCACACGCGCAATACACACAGAGTTGGTGAAACTGAGGGGTCAAAAGGGGGCCCACCACTAATTTTTCCCCCCATCTGTCTGTGCTGTCAGAGCTGCAGTCTCTCAAGAAACATGACTGACATTTTGGAAGTGCGTGTCACTTGCGCCTATTTTGACTCAGACTCTTCCGGTTCTTGGCCACTGTTAGATGCTTACTCAACTATTTCACAATCACCTAAAAGTATATTAAAAAAAAATGATTTTCTCCTTTGATTTGACTTTCTTCTGAGCAGTAGGTTTTATGGATTGACTGATCAAAGTCAATAGAAAGTCAACAGCAGAATATATGAAGACAAAAACATTACAAACTTAACTCAAACAAGTTTTGGAAACAGCTTGCAGGATTCCAAGTTGGTGTTAATTACAGACAATTAAGACAATTTGCCACAGACAATTTTGCTGACCATGAATTTAAAATGACAGCGCTAGAACTAGAGCTGCAGTCGTGTGTGTTTAACGTGCATGTGTTTTATTTGCATATTCAACTATGCGTGTACAGGCATGCATGCTTACATTATGTTTGTATGTTGGTTAGTTAAGTTATTGTTCCTGCCTTGGACATTTCATCAGTATTTGTGAACATGAGTAACTGTATTTGAAATTTAGCACTTATTTATGTAATCAACACAATATCACTTGGAAAGCTAATGGCAGATTCACACTGGGATCTTTATTTTAATCATTCAACACAAATATATTATAATGTAAAGCACCAATCACTGATTGAAGCCACTACTGCGAGGCCAGTGTAGTAATATGCTTGTGGAATGCACATTTCTGATATCACAGAGGTGATGATATTTTGGCAGTCTGGCCTTCATATTAGCTGTTTTCTTGTTGTGAGGAGAGTAGGAAGAGTCCTGAATGGATGCAAGGCTGTTGTCAGGGAACAAACATTTTTCTCTTTGTATGAAAAGAGTGAAAGCTCATGTCTCATCCTGCCATTACAATTCTATAAAAATTAAGTGGTTCTTTCTTATTGCTTAAGTTATACCTAATCAAATTATGATACAAAAATAATGAAACCTGTAATACTTAAATATATTTATTTATTTCGTTCATGCCATTTTACAACATTTTGTTCATCTTTTTTTCAGACCAACAATAAACACACACATATACATATATATATATATTTTATTTTTATTTTTTCCATGAACGAAAAAAAAAGGAACAGGAAGAAGAAAAATCTTGTAGCACCTGTCGCTTTTTGTGCACATCAAAAGAAACTGCTTTATGAATGGATCAACCCCAATCCTCTCCCCAATCACCAAACATTTTCAGTAATACCTATCTTTACACTTAATTATTATCATTTTTAAATCTTTTTTTTCTGCCTTTTTAAACGTGTTTATCATCATTTGTCTTGTAACATTCCTGTATTTTTAACTTAAATTTACAAACATTTTTGCAGCACTTTGTGCACTCTGCAGTTCATAGTTCAAGGTGTTCCACAGTTTAACTCCGTAAATAGACAAACACATCTGTTTTTGTGTAGTACCTGCAAAAAGAGTTTTAAAATAATATTGCCTTCTATGGCCATCTTCCTCTGATACGAGAGTGAATAAATTTTGTAAAACCATAGGCAGAACTCTCTGCTTTGTTTTCCACATAAAAATCAAAATCTTCAAATCAACCAAATCTTCCAGAAGAAGAACAAGTCCAGAATTTACAAATAAACTATTGGTGTGTTCTCTGTAGCCTGTCTTGTTGATGATCCTTAATGCTTTTTTCTGTAACAAAAACAGAGGTTTTGTGTTACTAGGGTATGTATTACCCCAGACTTCTGTGCAGTATCCAAAATATGGAAGTATTAGGGAATTGTACAACATATGCAACGAAGAATAGTCTAAAACATCTTTAACTTTATACAAGACCCCAATATTTTTACAAACTTTACTCGTAATACAATATATGTGAGCTTTCCAATTCAATTTATCATCCAAAATAACACCTAAAAATGTTTTCAATATCAGTTCCTTCATTTGCTATTCTTACATTTTCATTCTTTTTACGATAACCAAAAATCATGTATTTTGTTTTCTCCCAATTTAAATATAATTTGTTTTTTTCAAACCATTTCTTAATTTTTACCATTTCTGAACTTATAATTTCTGTAATTTCTGAATGTTAATATCATCGGCAAACAACAAAAACTGTAATATTTTAGACACTTCACAGAGATCATTAATGAACAAAATAAAAAGTAATGGGCCTAAAACAGACCCTTGTGGAACTCCACATATTATATCTTTTAACTCAGATTTTTTGACCATTAATTTGAACAAACTGCTGTCGATTGTTGAGATAACTTTTAAGCCATTGATGAGCTGGACCCCTGATGCCATAGTTGTATGATTTTAACAATAGCAGACTGTGATTTATGGTGTTGAATGCTTTGCTTAAGTTGATGAAGACCCCCACTGTGTATTGCTTATTCTCAGTTGCAGATGTAATTTTTTCTATGAGTTCAATTAATGCTAAAGCTGTTGATCTTTTTACTCTAAAGCCATATTGTTTTTCAGTAATTAATTTATGTTTTTCTAAAAAAGTATTTAGTTTTTGAGCAAACCACTTTTCAAGGATTTTAGAAAACTGAGAGAGCAATGACACTGGTCTGTAGTTGTTGAAGTGATGTACATCTCCATTTTTAAAAAGTGGAACAACAATATTAATAAAAAATGAAATAAATTCATTGGCCACATCTATGCTATTGTTCATAATAGTTTCGTTGTACACAAAATAGTAACTTTGTATATTGTGAATTTGGTTTCATTATATTATTTAATATTTTACAAGTTGTTTTCATATTTCCTTTATTATCTTTCAATTGTTTCTTTTAATAATCCCTTTTTGTTTCTCTTATAATTGTCGTCAGTTTATTTTTGTATGCTTTGTATTTGGCCTCACAATTGGGTGTCCTATTATTTTACAAAGTCTTCATACAATCTATGTTTCTTTTTGCATGCTTTAATTAATCCTTTTAGGGGGTTTCTTTGACAGCTTTAGTGGGCAGCATTTATCATAGCTATATATATAAATGTTTAAAAAGGTTTCATATGCTGCATTCACATCAGTCACATAGACACCTGACCAGTTCTGTTGTGAGAGCTCACTCCTAAAGTAATTTATTGTTTTCTCAGTTCTCACTCTAAAGTATGAAGTCTGATGTGAACTCTTGTATATCTCAGGTTGCATGTCATATATGGTAAAACAGGCAAGTGATTGCTTAAGTCATTTATCAGTAATCCACTTTGAACAATTTTTTGAACATCATTTGTGACAATAAATTAATGTGGCACACGAGCTAGTGATTCTGCTAGGCTGTGTAATTAGAGAAAAAAGAGATCTTGTATACAATGCATCTAAGAAATCTGAAGTAAACTTACATTTAGATTGATTGAGAAAATCAATATTGAAATCACCACTTATTAAGAATGTTTTGTGGTTATTCTGTGTATCAAGTAATTGTTCAAATTTGTCCTGGAAATCGTCTATTTTGGATCCTTGAGCTCTATAAATGCGAGCAGCAATCACATTCCTGTTTTTTCCCATGTCGATTTCAACAGCTACACATTCAAAGATTCCCTCAATTGCAATAGACATTTTTTCAACAAGTTTGCATTTCAAATGACTATCAACATACAACGCCACACCTCCTCCCCTTTTTTCTGGTCTATTTATGTGGTATTGCTTGTATCCTTCTATTTCAAAGTCTACACCCTTTTCATTGCTAAGCCATGTTTCAGAGAGTGCTATTATTTTGAATCGACTTGTGAATTTACTGATATAATCCTTCATTTTGTTGAAATTTGCATAAAGACTTCTGATGTTGAAATGAACAAGCGACAGACTTTCCCGTGAATTAACATTTAAATTAAGTTCATAATCAGTATAATATTTAGAGGTGTCACATATTTCATTCAACCAATGGCTATCAGGGTTATCCAGGTCCTTATCAAATTCATGCATGCTTTGCTCTCTAATATCAAATCTTGTCAGTGTTATACTTATCTAGTTTTAAATAATAACATCTAAAAAACTCCATATATCCAAAGATGTATTCAAAAGACAGGTAGAAAACAAAATATAACCCGTCTGTCTCCCAATGTGTCAGTATCAGCTGCACCATCCTGTTCTCATATGATGGTTGGCCGGTACGATGTGAGAGACATTGGAGCAGATTATGTATTTCTCTTAATTTCTTAAGTGACCAACAGGACACATATGCTTACCATAAAAAGAAAGATCACATAAACCCAGTCCTGCACCTGCTGCCTAAGATTTGTCTGAAAAACCTTTAAAGCTGAAGTTCAACTCATCTACGCATGTGATGTGGTCTGGTGGAATCCTATATTTCCTGTTGCCCTTACACTGACCCTGATTACATTTTATTATTGCTACATATTCTGAAATACAAACTAGATAATATTTACAAT